AAACGTCAGCCTTCCTGCTCCTCTGATGCTGCTTGGCCTGCTGTGTTTATCCAGCTCTATACCTTGTTATCTCAGATTCTCCAGCATGTGCAGTTCCTACTATCTCTGTACACAATGAGTAACAGAGGAACTACCAAATCAATATGACATTGCGAGTATGTAATATCTTTTCTCCTTGATCACTGTAAGGAGTCAGCAATTCCTCGTTTTAACATGTAGGGATGGACACCTTGCCTTTAATGTAGGAAATTTAAAGATATATTTCTTTGACAAATTTAAGATTAAGCAAATTGCCTTCCACCTTGCAGCAATGATAAAGGGGTATGCCCAGAGTTAAAAACTAATCTGTCTCCAGAGTGAAGCAGATTGAGATATCCTCCTTCAGCCTTTGCACACTGTTAGGTTAGGCCTGAAGTCCATATGCAGTTCAGTAACGGTGGGAAGCAACACTCTGGCCCAGATATTCCGATGGCGAGATAGTCTGAAGAGCAGTGTAGACTAGAGTTTCACGTTGGGACTGTGCAGAAATCCCAGACACTGCTGACTGTCTGTGAGTTGCTTGAGAAATTGAATTTTCTGATGGACAATTTCCCTGCATCTGAAAACCTCCAAAAATGTCTCGTAAAGTCACTGTGCTTGCATAGTTGTGACTCAATTCAGTTTAATAGCTAGCATCAGGAGATCAAAAACCTAATCTAATTCCTGGATAATGATTAAAATAAGCATGGATCCCCACTCCCAACTACAATTCCCCACTCACTGATAACCCCAGATTTGATATGCATATTTCCCCCAAAATCCCTGTGACCTAGTCCCTGCCCAAGACATGACACCAACAGACCTGATACACCCTTGACTCGATCTATCACACCCCCTTCTGACTGAACTCAACACTCTGCCTTCCTCTCGGAATTGACACCCTCTGACTCAATCTAATAGCATCGTTCCTGACACCTGACCTGACACACCCATCGCCTCAACACACTGGACCCCTTCCCCCTGACACAGCAGCCACTGTACCTCTTCCTCCCCAACTCATCATAAACACTGACCCAATTACCTGCCACTCTACCCACTCCACCCACCTGGCACTCTATCCCCTTACCCACCTGCCACACTACCCTCCTTGCCTATCTACCTGGCATCCTACCCACTTCACTTAACATTTCACACCGTTCCTCAGTTACTAACAAATGGGTTTTGGGACCTTTAAACAATTTAGCTCCTCAACTGTGGCAGTAAGTGTTATTAAAAGGGGGAATGTCTTGGCTTGCAATGCCAGTCTTGTGCTGATTTTGCCCTATGGCTAGTTGGCACAGTTGGTTGGATGGCTAGCTTGTGATGCAGAGTGATACCTATGATGTGGCTTCAATTCCTGCACTAGCTGAGGTTATCATTGAAGGATTCTCCTTCTCAACTTTTCCTTGAAGTGTGGTGACCCTCAGGTTAAACTGTCGCCAGCCATTTCTCTCTAACGAGAGAGTAGGACTGTGGTGACCTTACCTTTATTTCTCCCTGGTTTTCCTCCAGTTGTTACACATTCAGAAATGGAATTGTTAGTTGGCTTGAAACTTGGTTTAATACTGGCAATTGGAGATAGGACAGTGATCAGGACATTTATTGTTAGATGCTTGGATTTCTTCCCCCATTTCAACTAATAAAATGATTTCTGTAGTTAGAAACCATATTTAAATTACTTATTATTTCTGCTGATCGTTGTCTCAGAGCTCCACCTATCAATATTTTAACCTACAGTTGAGACCTGATGGGGAAGTTGCAAAAAGACTTGGCTACAACTCACTGCTGACTGTGAACTGAAGTCGTTTCTTTAGTTCGGTAAAGCACTGAATTTGAAGACTGTCTCACCAGTCAAAGAATGTCACTTCGCTGTCGGTGTTATGTGTTTATTCCACTAGCACTGTGCTGATTGAAGATTTATTTTGCATATTCCATTTGAACAGGAAACTAGAATTAAACTTGTGAACGCCAAGTACTGTGGCCGCTTTGCTCACACTTGGTGGAAAGATGGCTCTGTAATGCATGTTTACATAACTGCAGAGAAATGCAAGCAGTACCGTCAGAAAATGAAGACTGCATTGGATCAGTTCCAAAGGAGGTAAGTTTGTAACCTGGCCCAGTATTGGATGAGGATATTCCAGGTGCTGTGCTTAACGTCAGTGTCGCAGTTTAGAACTGGATATAATGCAGACTGAAATGAGTGATTGGCTTATACGGGTGCTTGTAAAATATAATTGTTACAGTGCAGAAGGAGGCCATTTGGCCCATCATTCCTGCACCAGCAAATCTGTAAGTACACATAAAGATGGAAAACAATTGTCTTCAGTCCTATCCTTCACCAGTTGGCTTTCTATTACACACACACACACACACACACACACACACACACACACACGTCACTTTCTGTGACCAAGGTCACTCTGCACTTGTGGTACTCTAATGGCTGTCACTCCAGGAGCTGCCACAGCCCTCTCCCTCTTGGCACCATTGAGCATGAGAGCTGCCAGCCTCTGATTGGCTGGCAGTTGTCACAAGTTGAGACCTCTACACCACCCCCCTCACAACCCTCGAGGAATGGTCGCTGCTGGCTTCTCTGCTGCTGATTGGTTTGTAGTTCGGTGGGTCTTCCCAAAGAAGAGGCAGCGGGGGTGTGGTCTCTGCCCTGCTCTGTAGTCAACAGGTGAGACCCTGGATACCTCAACAAAGTTCCGTCGGAGGCACTGGTATTTTGATTTAGTGACAATGAAGAAACAGCACCTAAGTAATATTTGAAATGATTTCCTGGGGGCTATCAACTTCCATTACCCTGAGGATATCTGTCAGAAACAGCCTCTCACATTTTTTGGAGGCTGCTTGCTAAGTTTCACCCACAGATTCCCAGTGGTAAACAGTCTTTGAAATTTTCCTTTGGCAGTCAGCCAGCTTTCCAGCTGGGGGAATAGGCTGTACATTTTTTTTTACTGAGCTGACATCCTCCATCATTTGTACGTTATTCTGTTTCTCCCTATTCTACACAATCTGATTTTTAATTCATGAAATTTGGCTTTTTATTGATTCATTTTCACAAAGTTAAGTCTTGTGCCTCTTTCAAACATCATTTTTTTTTCGGTGATATTGGGGACTGCTGATGCTGGGGAATCTGCATTTTGAATTTTTTCGGTGCTTTTGTTTGCCCATTCTGTACAAATCAGTTTAAAGGGCATTTTCTCAACACCATTGCTAGTTTTTTTTTGTTAGCTTTCTCTCTTTATGCCTCAGTGTTCTCCCAAAAGCACCTTCATAATGTCTCCTTTTTTCTGATTTCATGTTCACCTCCCCCACACCATTGCAATTGAACTTTCCTCCTTTTTATGAAATTTCACTGCTTCCTCAGCAAGTAATTTCTAGATACTTTCACTCCCATTCCATGTCAAACAACCTCATATTTAGAAATTATCTTTCATGGGATATGGGTGTCACTGACAAGACCAACATTTGTTACCCATCCTTAATTGTGCTTGAACTTAAATGCTCAGGCTTTCTGACCACCCTCATTGCTGTAGGTCTGGAGTCACATGTAGGCCAGACCAGTTAAGGATACAAGATTTCCTTCCACAAAGGCCCAGATAGATTTTTACAACAGGTAGATTCATGGCAACATTACTGAGATTAGTTTTCTAGTCCAGACTTGTTAATTGAATTTGAATTCTGCTAGCCACTATGATGAACGTAGAATTTGCACCAGTAGTCTGGGTCTTTACATTACTAGTCTTGTGACTTTAACACAACAGCATCATCTCCTCCTTCCTAGCCTTATGCTTTAAGCATCCAAATATTAGTCTACCTTTTTAAACATTTTGTTTCCATCTGTAATACATCCAACTTAATGATCACACAAACTCCAACCCCATTCTGCTGAAGATAAATCTGCCATTAACACACCATGGGTCAACTTCCTGCTTTAAGAACTGCACATTGGCAACAAGAGCACAGCCATCTCCCACAGCACACACTGATAAGACCATAAGAAATAGGAATAGGCTGTTTGGCCCCTCGAGCCTGCTGCACTGTTCAATAGAATTATGGATGATCAGACGTTCCTCACATCCACTAGCCTACCTTTGCCATGTAATTGTTGATTTGCCTACTGATCAAGGATCTAGTAAGACTGATGCTCATGCCGTTAAAGCAATAACAAGAAAAATGACCTGAGATGCTGTATGAATGTATAATGGGTGGAAGCCAAAAAAGGACATTAGGATATGTGACTTAAGGCTTGGTCAAAGAGGTAGGATTTAAGGAAGGTCTTAAAGAGTATAGAGAGAGATGTGTTTGAGGAAGGAATTCCCAAACATGGAGCCTGGGAGGCTGAAGGCACTGCAATCAATGGGGAAAGGGAAAAATTACATGCAAGGCTAATCCGAAAATGTCTGATGGTAATACTGAAGATCTGAGCTTCAGAACCAGGCATGCTGCTATCCACATTGTTCCAGTACAGCTACAACACTGGCATCTGTTCGACAACATGGAAAATTTTCCAAGTATGTCCTGCCCATAATAGCAGGACAGATGCAATCTGGCAAAATAATGCTCCATCTGGTTACTCTCTATCATCAGCTGTATGTTTACCAGGGCTACATGGTGCCTGACCTCATTACAGCCTCGACTGTGACATGGCCAAAGGAGCTGAACTCCGAAGTTGAAGTGAGAGTGACTACCCTGACATCAAGGCAGCACTTGATTGAGAGAGGATCAAGGAGTCCCAGCAAAAATTGAAGTCGATGATAATTGGTGGCAGGGGGCGGTGGTCTGTCCACAGTTGGAGCTATATGATCACATTCCATGAAAGAATAAAAACAAACACCACAGTCAGAGAAACAAAGTAAAATTGAATGAATATTTTATAACTTCAATATAATAAATACTTTACATAACTAATACTGATTGCATAAAAGCATGTCAAACCACTGTGACCTTGGGAGTCCGAGTGACAAAAGACATCTCAAAGCAGGTATCTTCAGTGAGCTTTGACCTGGGCCTTTTGCATTATTAGTCCAGGGCTTTGAACTAACCAATCAGTACAACCCTCTCATTAAGTTCAGAATTCAACATAGATGATAAGAATGAAAAAAACTAATATTTCAAATATTAAAAGCTGTACTTTTTCTTGTGCGGAATTTTTATCCTCCCAGTTTAATCAATTATTGCTTGACAAGTTGGCTGCCTAAAACCATTCCAAAGATCACCTTAAATCTCATCCCATGCCTGGAAGAAAGCAGAAAATGGGGATAAAAGGGTCTTTCTCAGGATGGCAGCCGGTGACAAGTGGAGTTCCACAAGGGTCAGTTTTGGGACCACAACTTTTCACTTTATACATTAACAATCGAGATGAAGGAACTGTGGGCATTCTGACTAAGTTTGCAGACGATACAAAGATAGGTGGAGGGACAGGTAGTAGTGAGGAGGTGGGGAGGCTGCAGAAGGATTTGGGCAGGTTAGGAGAGTCAGCAAAGAGGTGGCAGATGGAGTACAACGTGGGAAAGTGTGAGGTCATGCACTTTGGTAAGAAGAATAACAGCATGGACTATTTTCTAAATGGGGAGAAAATTCAGAAGTCTGAAGTGCAAAGAGACTTGGGAGTTCTAGTCCAGGATTCTCTCAAGGTAAACTTGTAGGTTGAGTCAGTAGTCAAGAAGGCAAATGCAGTGTTGGCATTTATTTTGAGAGAACTTGAATATAAAAGCAGGGATGTACTACTGAGGCTTTATAAGGCCCTGGTCAGGCCACATTTGGAGTATTGTGTGCAGTTTTGGGCCCCATATCTCAGGAAGGATGCACTGGCCCTGGAGCGGGTTCAGAGGAGGTTCACGAGAATGGTCCCAGGAATGGAAAGCTTAACATACGAGGAACGTTTAAGGACTCTGGGACTATAGTCATTGGAGTTTAGAAGGATGAGGGGGGATCTAATTGAAACTTACAGAATACTGAATGGCCTGGACAGAGTGGATGTTGGGAAAATATTTCCATTAGTAGGAGAGATTAGGACCCAAGGGCACAGCCGTGGAGTAAAGGGAAGACCTTTTAGAACAGAGATAAGGAGAGACTACTTCAGCCAGTGAGTGGTGAATCTATGGAATTCACTGCCACAGAAGGCTGTGGAGGCCAGGTCATTGAGTACATTTAAGACTGAGATAGATAGGTTCTTGATGATCAAGGGGATCAAGGGTTACGGGGAGAAAGCGGGAGAATGGGGTTGAGGACTTATCAGCCATGATTGAAAGGCGGAGCAGACTCAATGGGCCGAATGGCCTAATTTCTGCTCCTATGTCGTATGGTCTTATGGTCAGACTCCAGGCATCACTTATAAGATTACAATTTACGATTTTTTGTAGTATTTTTGGCTTATAGATTACTAAAGCTTGCAATTTGTATTTTCATGTGGCCTAATTTCTTTAGGCCTCTGTCCGTTGGTCAAATTGACCTATTCTGCCAAGCATCACAAGTACAGACCTACCTAGGGGCTCTTAAATATTGTCAAATTTTGTTTTCTCCCCACTCCAGCACACACCTGGGGTGGTCTGCTTAAATAAAAAAAGAAATTCTGAGCTAGTATTGTGCTCCCATTCTACCGTAGTTGCAGGTTGAATAATCATTGTCTTTGCTGTACATAAAGCTGCCATGGCTAATTGAATCATTCAAGATGATGACGACTCACACCCATACTGGCAGTTCACTTGTACACTTAGCTTATAAGTTGATTCCAGTTTTGAAGGGATTTTTCAAGGTGCCAAAGGTGAATGTATCCATCAATGTCTACAGTACTTGATATAGAAACTTGGTAGTCTTTGTATCCAAGCTTGTATGGACTAACAGTGTTCATCATGACACTTAAGTAAATAATACTGGATCGTGTTATAGATTTGTAAAGTTCTTTTGTATTGAAGTATTCCTCTGTTTTCATTCTTTGTTCACAGAATTGACTGGCTTCAGCAGGGGAGTAGGGAGCTGTTTGGGACCATAATTGAGAATCAGATTTACATCCTCATTGACACCTCTCAATCCATGGAAGATAAGCTGGAGTTGGTGCAAAGAAAGATCTTTCAACTCATGCAGGTATATAACTAAGAAGTTCAGACTTTTACGATATTTTATTTCTGTGTTAAGGAGCTTTCTAATGAGCTACAAATTATTAGTTCAATGATTTGGCACAGTGTAATATCTCATGACAAATCCTTTAAACGTTGATTTAATATAGTGAAACTTGCTGCCTGATCAACAGTTTTCCATTCGATAGCCCTAGAGGCATTGAAGGTGCTAGCTTTTAAGGAGATTTGTATTGCAAATCATTTGCTGCAACAAATCACTTTACTAATTATTAGTTCTGGCCTATTAAGGCCGTGTTCTCAGGAATTGTTTAGTGAATTTGGGGTGGCACGGTGGCTCAGTGGTTAGCACTGCTGCCTCACAGCACCAGGGACCTGGGTTCGATTCCAGCCTCAGGTGACTGTCTGTGTGGAGTTTGCACATTCTCCCCATGTCTGCATGGGTTTTCTCTGGGTGCTCCGGTTTCCTCCCACAGTCCAAAGATGTGCAGCTTAGGTGGATTGGCCATGCTAAATTGCCCATTGTGTTCAGGGATGTGTAGCTTAGGTGAGTTATGAGCCAGGGTGGGATGCTCTGAGGTTCAGTGTGGACTTGTTGGGCTGAAGGTTCTGTTTCCACACTGTAGGAATTCTATGAATTTCTGGAGGAAATTCAAGAGAAACTACACACTAGTTATCACCTCAATATAAGGCTGTTATTCACTATATAAAAAGTGAATGTACTGTGAATGATATAGGTGACTTGTTCTAACACAATGCCAGTAGAAAAACTTACTCCAAGCACATGAGCCTTTGTACTTTTGGCATTTATTGCTAAGGGAATAGAGTATAAAAGTAGCGAAGTGTTGCTGCATCCGTACAAGGCATTAGTGAAACCACACCTGGAATAATGCGTATAGTTTTGATCCCCTTACTTGAGGAGGGATGGAGTTACTTTGGAGGCTGTTCAGAGGAGGTGCATTAGATTGATTCCAGAGATGAGGGGTTTGTCTTATGAAGACAGTTTGACCAGTTTAGGCTTGTACTCTCTGGAGCTTAGAAGAATGAAAGGAAGGCTAATTGGGGTTTGTAAGATGCAAAAAGGGGATTGACAAAGCAGGTGCAGAAAAGATGTTTCCTCATGCGGGGAAACGTGGAACAAGAGGTCAGAGATTTAGGATAAGGGGTAGCAAACTTAAAACTGAGATGAGAAGAAATTACTTCTTTCAAAGGGTCATGAATCTGTGGAATTCAATATTCCAGAGTGGGGTGGATGTGCCTTCTATCGGCTATGAACAGAATCTTACGGGGACCTGAGAGATGTGGGCTATGGAGAGATTGTGGCAGAATCACACAACAAGTCCAGCGAGGACCATCAGGAGGCACGCCCTGCATTTTTACATTGAGCTGTGAGGCAAGTTCCTCCCTACAGAACAAAAACAGAAGTTGCTGGAAAAGCTGAGCAGGTCTGGCAGCATCTGTGAAGAAAAGAATCAGAGTTAACGTTTCGGGTCCGGTAACCCTTCCTCAGTTCAACTCATTAACATTGAGCTTCCTTTCTTACCATACATGCCAAACAAGCTACGCGTGGAGAATTCTTGACATGGAAGACAGAGCAGGTATCTGGCAATGCCAGCTCAACACTTGCTCCAAAGGACCTCCATGTCGGACACCAGGAATCAACATTTCAGGGCATGCTCCATTGGCACCAATCACAAGTGTCCCATGTCCGTGGACATTGGCATCTGAGATGTGCCAGCCTGTAAGATCCCTACTTACAGGATGCTCCTGAACTTCAGTGATGCACCTTGGGCTGTATTGGCAACTGTCATTGTAATACTGCAGCAAGGACACTGTGTGCTCAGGGACGCACACCCAGCTCATGGCCAAGACCAAGCTGCAGCTGCGGGCTCTTTACTCACTGTCATAGCACTCACTCAGTCTGAGACCTTGATCCTCACTGCATCCTGCCTTATATTACCTTGTCTTGGCTTTACGTGCTTTGGTCCCTCAGCTAAACTATCAGGCTCACCGTGCTGTTGTAATGCCATGCTGTTTAGCACAGTCACAAAGCCAGGAAGCTTGAGATGGTTGTTAGCAGTCCTCAGTTAAGTCAATGGAGATAGCCTTTGGTCGGGGGGGAGGGATCCCAGCACGGTAAATCAGGGGCAGCCTCTGAAACCAGTTTAGGGGCTTGGATGTGGTCAGTCAGCCACCATGGCATTCAGAATCAGGGTCATCTCCACATAAGGGAGTGCAGAACTGAATGTTGGGTAGCTCACCACCCATCTTGACTCTTTCAGCCCTATTTGGACTGTTTGCTTTCTAGAATGAGCAAGAGAGAGAGAGAGGCAGCTAATACAGGAGATTAAAGCAGATGGCACAGGTATTACTACTGGTGCAGGTTGGGTGGTGTTCTGAGGAGTGAGTAAGCAGTGGGATCGGATTGGACTGACAGCACTTGCTCGGATGCACAGTGGCCTTTTAAAGGCGGCACTGGTGTCATGGATGCTGATCAGTTCTGGGAAATCCTGGCAAGGGTAAGTTGTTCCGGGGAACGTGCATGGTAAGATGCGGAAAGAATTGACGAGAACGATAGCTTTGGGGTGGGCAGATAGTTAATAATTTGAGTTTGGTAAGAAATGGTGAGAAAGCCGACTGGGTCTCACACACTCCAAAAACTTAGCCAAAAAACTATGCCTTTCACTTTATTGTGCCTGTCTTCTGCTTGGTACTGTGTCTTCTTTTATTCATTCACTGGATGAGGGCATTGCTGGATAGGCAGCATTTATTACCCATCCTTAGTTGAGAGTCAACCACTTTGCTGTGGGTCTGAAGTCACATAGAGGCTATATCAGGTAAGGATGGCAGTTTCCTTCTATAAAGGACATTAGTGAACCACAAGGGATTTTCCCTAGCAATCAGCAACAGATTCATGGTCATGATGAGATTCTTAACTCTAGATATTTATTGACTTAAAATTCCACCATCTGCCATGGTGGGATTTGAACCTAGAATGTTATCTTGGTCTCTGGATTAATGCCACTAGGCCGTTGCCTCCCTCGCTGAAGTCCTGTGAATGCCTGGGGCTGAAATTTGACCTGGAAGGTAATGCACAACTAATGCCTCAGATTCAGCATATCGTTTTATATTTCGCTTGATTTTTGGTAAGGGTATTAAACTGGTTGTGAACATGCAAACAGATATTCTGTGTTGCTGCCAAAGAAAATGTCCACCCCGTTGGTCTATAATGTTGGAATCACTGAGTTTTGGAATGTGAGTCTGAAGCTCCCAATCCATGAAGAATTGAATGGAACCATCATGCCTCCAATATGCTGAGGTATATATGGTATAAAATAATGTGGCTTTGTGTCCTTTGAAACATATTTATTGGTAAATTTGCTTTATTCAGGATCAGCTTCGAAACAAGACCAAATTCAATTTTGTGAAGTTTGACTCCAGAGCTGATCCCTGGCAGGAGAAGCTGGCAGAAGTAAATGAAAATAACCTGGAAAAGGCATGGTCGTGGGTTAAAGGCCTCCAGGTAAACATATTTACAAAAATGGTAAACATTCACCTCATCCAAAGTCCAACAACGGGTCCCTATTCTGAAGGAGAGCCATATCAAACTCAAAAACATTAACTCTGTCTCTCTCTCTCTTCAGATGCAGCCAGACCTGCAGTTTGTCCTGCACTTTCTGTTTATATATCAGATCTCCAGTATCCACAGCTCTTTGCTTTTATTCATACGTATCATGTCATTCAGTTTAACTTCAGTGATATAGAATCTCAAAGAAACAGGAGACAATTAATTGTCATGTACAAATTTGGGTTCATAGGTACAGGCAGCGTAGATTTGTTAAGGGAAAGTCACATATAACTAACTTCCTGGAGTATTTTGAGCCAATAAGGACAATGTTATTGGTAGGGCGCACATGAACTTCCAGAAGGTATTCAATCCAGTGCTACATTACAGACTTATTAGCAAAGTTAGAGATCATGGAATACAAAGGAGAGTAGTAATGCGGATACAAAATTTGCTGAGTTGTGGGAAATAGGAAGCAATTGCTTATGGATACTTTTTGGGTGGGAGGAAGATTTGTAGTAGAGATCCCCAGTGATCGATATTGGGATCTTTGCCTTTCCTGATATATTTAATGACCTAGATCTTGGTGTGCAGGAGACAGTTTCAAAGTTGTGCATGATAGAAAACTTGGAAACCTTGTAAGCTATGAGGAGGATGGTATAAATCTTCAAAGGAAATAGACAGGTTGATGGAGTTGCCAGATAGGAGGCCGATGAAGTTCAATTTAGATAAGTATGAAGTGATTCATTTTGGTAGAAAGAATATGGAGAGAGAATGTAAAATAAAGGAAGTGCAGGAGAAAAGGGGCTTGGTTGTATATACACATTGTTCACTAAAGGTGGAGAGAGTAGTTTATGAAGCAGACAGTATCATAGGTTTTATTAATAGTGCAGCACAGTATAAGATCCACAAGATTATGTTGAACTTGAATAAGTTGGGTGTTAGCTGGAGTATCTTGTGGACAGTTCTGGATGCCTCATTATAGGGTGGATGTGAATGCATTGGACAGTGTGAAGAAGAGATTTACAAGAATGTTTCCAGGGATAAGACATTTCAGTTATGAGGATAGCTTGAAGAAGTTGGGATTTTCTTACTTGGAAAGGAAAATGCTAAGACAAAATTTTTCAAAATCATGAGGGATCTAGGCAGAGTTGATAGGGAGAAACTGTTCCCGCTCATAAAAGAATTGAGAACAGGAAGGCATAGATTTAAAGCAATTTGGCAAATGAAGCAAATGAGAAGCAAGGAGAAGCTTTTGCACGCAAACCTGGTAAGCACTGCCTGGAAGGGTGGTAGAGGCAGGTTCAATTGAGGCATTTGAGGTGAATTTGAGAGGCATTTGATGATTATATGAATGGAAAAAATGTGCAAGGGTATGGGAAAAAGGCAGGAGAATGGTGCAAAGCCATTATACTCATTTGGCGAGCTGTTGTACAGTGATGGGCTGAAAGGTCTCTACACTGTAACAGCTCTGTGATTCTATGCTTATTTTGTGGGTTTTAGCACATTTGGGACTTTGGTGATGAGAAGTGATGTGTGCTGTAATAGACTATCTGATGTGTTAACTGTTAGTGCAGAACAAATCATGCGCACATATAACAATTTAAATACTTCCTTGGCTGTTTCTAGCTGGCTTACCACTTGTCTCTTGAGATTAGTCGTTAGAATTAAAATAATTTTGAAAAGCATTTTTTTCCAAACGTGTGACTTCCAGTACCTGGTCCACACAGAGTTGCAGCTGAGAGCTAACAAGGTGTAGAGCTGGATGAACACAGCAGGCCAA